AGTAAATTTCATTCTTGAGCTAAATACTGTGGTGTAAATATAACCGCCTCCCGTCACACATCCCCATTCAAATCCCTTTCTTTTCGTCGCTTCTGATGGGCTAATAAAAGCTAAGGCTAATAATACCACCTCGCAAATGAAAAACTCAATGTGCGCAAACGATGCTCTTCGCTCAACATTTAGACGAGTTTTGGATACAAGCAAAAGGATTTCGATGCTTGTTTCAAGTATAGGAAATTGAATAATGGATTGTGGGACGTTTGCGAAGGGGGACGCAACGGAAGAAGAAAAAAGATGAACATAAATACTGACCTATTTTGTATAAAATAGTGTATATAAATGAACGAGGAATAATAGATAAATGATATGTGAAAAGCAAAGAAGAAAGATTGGGAGGGGGTGAATTGTAATTTTTTTATTGATATTATGATTAAAGACGAAAATGTACTACTGTTTTTCAATATGATGAAAAGGCGAAATAGATACGCTGTATTTTTAAAATGAACGAAAGAAGCGCTTTTAATAAAAGTGACACCCACCAAAAAGTCAGCGTCGTCAATGGTCTGTAACTTTTGTGACTCAGCGGCGATGCGATAGGATGTCCCCAGTAGTCCGTGGTGAAAACCTACGGTAGTGAAATAATAATACGAATTTCATGCAATCGCTCGTATACAAATGCGATATTCCATTATAAAACTGAAAGTTCACAAGAGCGGAAAATCCCATGACAAACCTGCTTTAGCGGAGTTTTTCCGGTAACTACCGGGTTGTTGATGATGGTGGCCGAGTCATCGAAGACAAACTCGCCGTCAAGGGACGGAATGTAAGGACCAGCAGCTAATACGGTGATTATGACTAATTTCAGCCAGTCATAATTCCTCGAACAATTGTGGGCTTTATGTGCAGGTTCTGAAGTATGAGTGTGGTTTTTTGCAAAGGATTTGCTGATTTCATTCTCGCAATTAGAGGAGCGTAAACAATTTGTTCGCTGCCCACCTCCACCTTCCAATTCTCGCTTTCGTATCTTCATTTTGTGGCGCTTCATCTTTAGATAGTCATGGCATGGGATCAGCTGAAAATGAAATTGTGGGTTTTATTTTGAAACGGATGATATCTCGGTGGCCGAGAGGAATCTTCATTTAGCGGCTTATTTACTGCGGACAGATTTCTGTGATTGCTCTTCAAAAGTAGACATTTTTTCAACCAAAATTCCAGCAAGGAATAGGACTAGTGCATCAGATCGAATAAAAGCGACAGCTAAGTGCAAGCTATTGTTCACTGGAGAAGGACAAAAGTCGAGCTTTCTTTGGCTAAGAATAGCGCGAATGCACGATCAGTCGGATTTACGCTTAGGTGGTAATCTCATGCGCATTAGTTGTTTGATGAATATTCATAAGGCTAATATGGACTAGAGGCAGGTGAGATATTGATGAGGAGAATACAATTTCACCAATCAAAACGAAAGATAAATAGAACTTTTTGATAGATAAGGCGGAAGAGGGTGACTGATTCAAGATGAGAGATCTCACAGAGAAGAAGAGAAGTCAACAGCTTTCTCGTAAAGAACTAGTAGCAAGTCATCCATAACTGCGTTCTGGTCTGACAAAGTGGTCTTCGGTATCCAAAAGATGCTCAATCTTCTAAGCGCCCCCGTCCATCTGTGCAGTGGCCCGTGGGAAGGATTAACGAGAGAAGCGATGCAAATGACCAGCTACGCCCCTTTCAAATGCTGCTCCTCTCTCTCACAAACGGACTGGGGTACCACTCTTTCTTGACGTTTTTTTTGCACCCAAATGGCCCTAGTGTAGACTTGCATAACGTGTGTGTGACCAGCTGGTTGCATAAGACGCCGTCCAAGCGAAGCGGCGACGATAGCGAGATTGACACATATCCTCCCGTCGTCCCGTTCGTGTTTTGCGATGACAAAGAGCAGGAAATGCTGTCTGTGCCGACAAGGGATTGAAATTTCAAGGCTGAACGAACTGCGAGTGTGCTGTACGTTTGGAGGACATGGAACAGCGAAAAGCAAAGCGGAAAAGTGGGCGGGGGAAGAGGTGAGAAAGGTGGTCGAAGAAAGTGTACGAAGAATGTACGAGTTGGGTGATGGATATAAAAATATGCTCAAAGATCATCTGAGGATATTTTGTACCTGCATTGTTTCTCTTAGAATAGCAACGAGCATTTAGTATGCCCCGTTGTTCGCTCTTTGCAACGAAGGTCCTGGAGAATCAAAAAGATGCGAATGTATTTTAGCCAGGAATGGGTGTACCAGCTGCAGCTGTAGCTTGTTTTCTCCTAGGGCTCTCAGACAGAAAACGTTGCTGCCGGACGTCGAGTCGCTCTTGATGTGTTGCCGGAAATGGACGATTTAGTGCAGTTCTGACTTCTGCAGCTGTGTACGAAGTAATAGAAAAGCTGCTAAGTAAAAGCTTGCGAGTGCTGACTATACAGATTCTCTCTACCTCAATTGATGAAGCGGATTCTTGTACAAAGCGGTAATCAAAGCAACACATAAATAGTGCAACTCTGCAAAAAATCCCGATGTGGAATAAGTAAGCAATCTCGGATGTTTGTGCAAATGGGACAAGCAATTGAGTGGCCACTGCTGGTAAGGGTGAATGCAATCGGGTTAGCACTACGGGGTGCGTCCTCAAAACAATTAAGCACGACAGAACGGTGACAGAAAGGCGGAGAGGAAAGGAGAGATCCCTCCTAGTTGTTGTCGCAGCTAAAGTGATCATGTTCTTCCGAACACATTCAATGTGCGTATCAAAGTGAAGTTTTGTCCATTTATCCCTTGTTTATCACAATTCAATAGTTGTAATTTGTAAAATCGCTTGAAGTCTTGAAATGATGGCGTATATTTTGTTTATATCCGATTCTCAGCAAATCGAGAGGTACGATCCGAGTAGAGTAGATTTTTTTTATTTGAGACCAGGAATCGGCAGAGATGATGCTTATAAGCAAGCTTCATATCGTTTTTGGGACAAAAAGCAAAAGGGATAACACAAGTCACACGTTTTTTAGTCCACGTTCAGTTTTTTTGAGGATTTTTTATTTTTAAGGTTAGGGGTCAAAGGAGACTTCGTAAAATTTTGCAAAAGTGAAGGAAGGATTTCGTTTTTTTGCATTTTCGGAAAGTCACCTAGTGCCGAGTCCTGTTTGAGACTCATGAGTTTAAACCATCCCGATAATACGCTCATTTTCTATGCACATTGCTGAGCTTCTTTGCATTTTGGGCTACGAAAAACGAACTTCTGCTAGAAATCAGCATATTTCCCTCTTTTCCAAAAACTAAAGTGATCCCAAAATCAAACAGAAAATCTTTCAGATCATTCTTCTTGTCATAAAACATTAGCAAGTTGAGTTGACCATCACAGACTGGCAGCCGTAACAATACTGTGGGAGCTGGTGTTGGGTCAAAAGCACTATGAACAAAAGGCTCTTTGGTGAAGACATTGAGAGTAGACACGAGAGAGAGGGCAGACCGGAGGAAGTGAAAAAGGAACGAAATAAATCGTATAAAACAGTTTCAATGCCACTATATATTTAAACGTTCATTGCGATGACTGTGCACTGCACATTCAAGTTCTATACGTAAGAGTCCACGAAGCTGCGAGCTGGTCGTATAGTCATCAAAGGAATTTTGGAACAAAATGATCCTCGGTAGCTAGAGGATACCCATTTTCAAGCGCCCAGACCATGTGTGCGATTGCCTGTGGCGGGGATTAGGGCGAGAGAAGCGGTACAGCTGACGAGCCCCGCCCTCTTCAACAAATATTGCTCCTTCTTCAGCAAAGCGCTCGGGTATCATCTGCTTCGAGATTTCTATGTTGTCTTCAGCAGAGTTGCGTAACGTAGCAGCTGATTGAACAAGACCCTGCCGAAACCGGAGCGGCAACCATGGCGAGATTGATATTTACATCTTCTCACTCATTCACCTATGAGTAGAGATAAGAGCAGGAAATGCTGTCTGCCGACAACGGATTGGAATTTGAAGCGTGTACGGATTGCGAGCGTGCTGTATTTGGGATATGGTTTGAGCGAAAGGCAAATGAAGGCGGTGGGAAGAGGCAGTAGCCAGGGGTGGAGGAGGAGTCAAAGTGGGCGGAGAGTGCTACGATGACTTGGGAAAGAAGCAGAATATTTTATAACCTACAACGATGCTGGTTACGTGAAGTTTTATTTATAAGCTTCAAAGTAAAAGCGAAAGAATTTCAAAAGTATATAAATTTATCGTCCAGTGTGGAATAGAAAAATGATTGCAAATGAATCCTTCCTTGTTGACTTTAAAGGCGCCGTTCGCATCTTACGCCATACCGAGAACGTTACCAAGGTGCAAAGAAGATAGACATTTCCTTCAGGCTTAGCAGTCGTTAATCTCTATTTAGAAATCGAAAACATTCCTGCCGAATGGAAGTCACTATTAATGAACTCTGAACATGAATGCGCAGTAAGTAATAAAAGTTGAAGCTATTTTCTTATATGCTGCAGTTGAATGAGAAGAGTGGAATCATGCGTATAGTTAGAGAAAAAAGTGGTAAAGTAATAGTAGAAATAGTAGTAAGTAATAGTAGAAAAGTAGTAATAGTAAAATAGTAGAATAGTAAAAAAACGCCGCAAAAACATTGCTGTAACTGAATGCATCGTTCATATACTTGCAAATGAATGAAAAAAAACTCAAATGATATTTCTTTGCCGATACGAAGGTTGTTATAAATGTAGAGTTTTTTTTTTACGATCAGTGAGCTTGTACCTGTATTCAGTTTTTTGATATTCCTGCGAATTTGTAGCTTTTTATTCTTTTGAGTGGCCTTCAGATACCGTATTAGAGGGTTAGATTCAACTCAAGCACGAGCTTAACACTTTCATTTTTCGTTAATGGAAGATTGGCTAGCTTCTAAGCGCATTGACGCCACAGTGAGCTAGCTGCCAAAAAGTGAGGCGATTGGATCATCAAGACGTATAATTCGAAAAATTTGAGCGCGATAAGTACCGCCATGGGTAAACCATTTGCTAACCGTGGAAGAAGAGTTGATTCGCGTAGGTAAGGCAAGAAACAATGGCGATTGTTCAGGTAAGGCGAATGAAGGAGGAGGTGTTGTCAGCAGCGGTCACCACTTAACTTGAGTGACCCTCAATTAATGACGAGTCCTTGGATGTGAGGACAATCAACGCCACCAAAATGTTCGCGAAGAATTGCTTTGCGTGTAACATTCATTGCCCAAGGTTAAATTTGGAATTGCGCTCTCCTTTCAGACTACCAGAATTTGAGAGATTGTTTTGCGCGTTTTATATTGGTATTTTAATAAGGCACAAGTGGGGCTCTGGCCTTCACCGGCTTTATATTGTGGTAGACGTCTAAGCATTGTGATTCATATGTTCGTTCTATCTATTATACAATGCTGCTATTTATTGTGTGAAATACAATATCGCTCATAATTCGTCAAAAAAAAATTGCTGGCGGAGTACGTTGGAATGCTGGACTTTGATGAATTATGAACGGTATCGTACACTCCGCTGAGATTTGGTAGTAAGCACTTTCGAGCTCTTCTTACATCTGTTAGTCGACGGCTGCTTGGAACTGCACATTTAGAGGCCTCCTTTTTTCGGCGGAGTCACAAGCAATGCGAGTTTTTTTGTGAAAAAAAAAACAGTGACAGATGGGAGTGGGGTGTTCTGGAATTACTATAAGAAAAAAAGGTCTAGCTTTTCTTGCGAAAGAAAATAGGATGGAATGGAATAACAGCATCCATTCTCCATCATGACGCCAGATCCTTGTTCTTTTGAGGATTGCGTGAGATTAGAACTTGCGATTAGCAGCGCGAAGGTGCTAATTGTCAGTTCGGAACTGTAGAAGGACGCGACAGATGCCCTGGTATTACGGTTTCTATTTATCTACCACCCAAAAGGTAGTAAGCGGACTGTATGTCGCCGATAAGCCCACCCCCCACGCGGACAGCTGGCACAAATCCGTATTGTACGTAATGTGTGGTGCTGAGTACTTTGTCGGAGATGTCCGCCTGAGACCACTTCCTTTCGGCGATATATAGTCCTCCACCCCAAGCGATTCAGTGCTTTAGAGGTCGTTTGCTCGGGTTTCGCCAGCGGAACCAAGGAAATTAGTTTGTGTAAAATACCAATCCTCTGTGAAATCTCTTATTCCGGTTGACTTCAGAAAGAATTTCCTTTTTTGCAATGATATTTCTCTGAGATGTGGATTAACCAAGCATGCATGATGAATGAAGAGGAGGAACCATGCTCAGTAACCACGCACGATTCCTTCGCGACTTATATTCTTTGAGGGGAAAATCATTTTTGATTCCATGAAAGCGACTCCCAAAGCGGTTTTACCGCTAGTCTACTGACAATGAGAGTTAATCAATATACTAATGCCTTTCGGAAGAACAAAAAGGTATGAGTAAGTCAAGAGTTGTATTTCTTCGCGATCAAGTCGCAGTGAATAATGTAATCGTATGAAATCCTCCCAATAAACACTTTCGCAAGGCACCATAAAAAAGGAAAAAAGCACTTTTCGGTACATTTACGAGAGACAACATCAGTAAGGCCATTTGATGGCGTCGCGCGAATTTGATTGAAAATGAGGAGGAGTTGTCAGCAGCGGCCAAGACTTACCTTGAACGACCCCTCAATTGACGACTAGTCTTTGGATGCTTTGACAATCAACGCCAATAGGATGAATTCGTGACAGATTGCGGGGGGGGAACACCCACTCTTTAAAGGCACCGTCCACCCAAATTGGGGTTGGTGAGATTATGATACCTAGCAGATGCGGGGCTCCCAACTGTATGATTGCCCAACTCGCGCTGCCTGAAGTTGCTTCCGAACAGAGAAAATTGCTTCGGAAGTCGCTTCAAGCCGCGTTCGCGACGCTGGCTCCTCCCCTTTCGGAATCCAACCAATCACCGTACCGAAGAAATCGCTCTGCGGGTTCTGAAAATGGGGTTTTTCGTGGTTTTCGCGGGTTTTCAACTTGATATTCGGAATCAGGGGTATGAGAAGGCCCTGGAACGGCAAAAACATGGAGGTCGAAATTTTGGGTGGACGGTGCCTTTAAGGTAGAATCCAAATTTGCGGCTCTCTCTCAACATAAAAAATTTTTTCTGTCATATTTACGACATATCTTTATCGTGTCATTCACATCAAAAAACGAAAGGAGACCGTGGTTGTGATGACTGGCTAAGAATTTAAGTTCATATGTGCTATTGTGCTCCAACACATTAAAAAACAATCTAGTGGATTGAGTGGAACCCTGATATAAATGGGAAAGTCACGAACCACGCAAGTACTTCCTGAAAATTGTACGGAATGGTTTTACATTTTTGTAAGGCTGTCAGGCATCTTAAAATTGTGTGAAATTGATATGAAAACGATGCAACGGAATTTCACTCTCCATCACTAAGCAAGATCCTTGTTCGACTCAAGACCAGGATTAGAAGTGTACGAATAGCCGCACGAGTGATATTTCTTGGTTAGCAACAGTAAAGGACATGCGACAGATGCAGGGATGACTACGGTTCCTTACCATGCAAAGCATAGAATATTACGTGGTATAGCAGGTATGAATGAGATGTTTGGTGCACAAAAACTTGATGGTATGGAGTAGCAATTACAGCTTGATTGAGAATTTTGATGAGTGGAATTTTGGAAGCAAGACCATCAAGGAGGGAAATTGCGTAGATTATAAAATTCCTTTTTTGACTCGAAATTACCGGTTACTAACTGACAAATCTATTTCTTACAAAAAAAAATTTTTGACATCATGTTAATTTACTTGACTTTTTGAAAAGAATGAACGTTTTCAGTAAGCGGAATCCCAAAGCAAATTCTAATTCAAAGCATGATTATCTCAACGTCAGTGGCCAGTCTACTTATGTTAAGGATTTCTAATCGGCAATTTGCAAAAGGTTTCTTTGCAGCAAAGTAGTTGAAAAGTTGTTTATTGACTACTCTAAAAGCATAGCTAATATTCTAAGGCAGTTTGCAGATGAGCAACAGATCTTATTGTTCGACAAAATTTTTCCTGATAGTCAGGGATGACTCTAGAAAATATGCAGACCCCCTAGAAAGCGGTAGAGATTTCCATTTGAGAGGTTCCACTTGATAAATGATGACTACTACTCCCAAAGGAGCATTTGTCGGTGGGCCGCGAGTTTTGGGGAGGAGTCGTAAGAGACTCTGCACTCAAGATATTCACAAACTTTATGGGTTGATTAAGCAACGATCGTATTCATTACTGAAAAAGGCCAAAATGAGTGTACAGATGGAGCTGTGAGCCCTTCTTTGCAATAACCTACTTCGCAGCTTATACTTGTTGTCGCACAAGCTCACTTTATGCTCGTTTCCATTCAATTAGGTGTAAAGCTTCCTACTAATGAGAGGATCCATGGATTACGATGCCAATTACACATATTGCGTTCCTCGCGCCAATAATGCACTGGGCCTCATTTCGGCTGTCTACTCTGAAACGGCAAACACTCGAGAAGTACAAAACAAAGTGATGTCGCTCCTTTGATGGAAAAGAGATGATCTGTGCCTTCGTTTTAACTTCAGTAGCCTTCATTAACACGCCTATCAGGACGTTATAATTGCTAAATTTCAAATTTTCTAGCTTTTGACACGGCAAGTGTTGTCGTACTTCTTCAAACCGTGTAGTGCAGATGAATTTCCTTTATAAGCATCCGAGATAGCTCACATATGAAAAGAAGATTATTTTAAGTGATTGTCGCAACCGGATAAATTTATGGCCAACCATTCCTTAAAGTCTCGCAGTTTGGAAAACATGTTGCAGGATCTGAAACTCGGAACCGGCAAACATGGGAACATTTCCGTTTTCCCAATGCTTTGAATTGAACCTAATATGAGAAAAAAATAAAATATGGAACCGGCCCAAACGGCTTTGGCTCTTACAGACCAGTTCACGTCCTTCCTCACCCATCAGCGCAGTGTTATTTGTGTCGTCCATCATGCCTATATTCTTCTACATAATCGCCTTCATAAATATTCACGTCTATCTTGCTTTATGGATTGTGCATACATGACATGATAGATGTCTATCCTAGAAAAACAGCGCACCTGCAGGATTCAACGGTAAATTGGCTTTAACTCGCTCATGAAGCATTAATCCATGAAAATGCGAAAAACAACACATACAAAGGGAGCTAGCTAAGCAAACGCTCAAGGCTTAATTTATCTTTCCTTACTGCTCATGGAATCCTAAACGGAGTGCCGACTATTATAATGACTCTTATCAGTAGAATAGTGAAAAACTGCTTTGAGAGACTTTAAACATGGAAGTAAAAACAGCGTCGTAAAGGATTTTGCTCCTCAAAAGTGTGAGCCTCAAAGGAACCGTGCGCATTTTCTGGGCACAGTAATAATAAAACATTAGAAAAGACAACACAAAACCAAAACGTTTACTAAACCGCCTAAAAATTTTTTGTTCTTTTGATTTTTAGAGGGTTTATTTTAAAAGTTTTAAACTTTTTAAAAGAATTTTGCTTATTGTTTTTAAGGGGATTTTTCCTTCTATTTATATATCAAGCATGCTTGATTACATCTCAGAGGAAGAACCTTTGTTGCAAAAAAAAGGAAATTCTTTTTGATGTTATACCGGAATAAGAGATTTCACAGAGGACTGATAATCACACAATTTTTATTGGTAGTGCTTTCAAAATCCAAGCACCTCCAGAGCGCTAGATCGCTTACTATCTTCTGCCTGGTACGTGATTGGAAACCGTAATAGTCGGCATCGTCGTGCCTTCCTACAGTTCCCAACCGAAAATTAGCACCTCCGCGCTGCTAATCGCAAGTTCTAATCCCAGGCAATTCTCAAAAGAACAAGGATCTGGCGTCATAGTGGCGGAAGTGTGCTGTTACCTCCTTTGACAGCACATTGGTTTGTCGAAATCTCACCACACCCGTTATGGTATTGCGTGAATTCCGCCCAATTTCTTTTGCAGAAAAACTAGACTTTTCTTTTTTTCCTCCTAGTAATCCCGGAATCCCCCACTCCCATCTGTCACTGGGCTAATTTTGCCACAAAAAACTACCATTTCAGGTTGAACTACTGCTTCCATGGTGAATGGACGCTACCGTACCACTTGATCAACATCGCTTTACATGCCATAGCCTCTTTACTGGTCTTCTTACCTGTACGAGAGTTACGGCATGTTGCCGAGCAATCGTTTATATGTGATGAAGCTTTCGCGGCTTCGGCACTTTTCGCTGTCCATCCTGTGCATACCGAAGCGGTAAGGAGGATCCATCCCATAACTAATTTGCAAAAGTACTTATTCTAGGTCGCTAACATCTCTGGCAGGGCAGAACTTCTGATGAGCGTTTTCGCGCTGTTTGCACTCATTTGCTATCAAAAACACATTCGAGAGGACTTTGAAGGAAAAGCGATCATTTTGTTTCCTGTCACTGTGGTATTGTCAGTATTTAGCAAGGAACAAGGCATCACTGTACTGGTGAGATGGGCATAAGAACTGATGAACTGAAATCAATATAAGTGTTGCAGCCAATTTGCATATTTCTGGAAGCTTTACATTGTTTCGACGCTAGGAAAAAATACGGAGCTGCAGCTTTGCGATGCTTCATGCTTTTCATCTTTACTTCATTTTTGACATTTCTGCGGATTTACATCAACAACTTTATCGCACCAAAATTCACGGAACTGGACAATCCAGCAGCATTTGTCAAAGATCCGTTAATTGAGGGTGAGTATACTCAGTATGATTGCAAAATTAATTCTTGGAACATTGAAATCAATATTAAAGCAGTTGATGCCAGTAAAAATTCTTTACACTTCGCAGGTGGCCTCCTACTCTCACTTATGGTTGATCAATCTCCGATTGCTGCTGTCACCGTACTCGCTCTGTTTCGACTACAGTATGGGCTGCATCCCACCAATCACGAGCTGGAGTGACTACCGCGTTCTATCTTTACCTGCAGTGGCATATCTGCTAATTGTTATCCTCTACATTCTCCACAAGCTTGACAATAGGTATGTCCTCGAACTAGATTCTAGTTTTCGATCTTGCATCCTCCAGGCTCTTGACGTTCGGTGCTGTTCTTGGAGAAATTAGTTTCCTACCTGCCAGTAATCTGCTAGTTACCGTTGGATTCACCGTAGCCGAGCGTGTACTGTATCTGCCGTCGGTTGGCTTTTGCATCATGGTAGGCGTACTGTACTCGCGGGCATCACGCCACTACCGTAACACGGACAAGATTGCCTTAGCAGTTCTTGTGATTGCTATGGCAATAACATGCCAGGTTTGGCAGATGGGTATCTCAGATAGTCAATAAACACGAGCGTTACAGCGATGTGAGGAATGGCGTACTGAGGTGGATCTCTACGCCAGCGGGCTAAGAGTCTGTCCAGAAAATGCGAAGATTCATTATAATCTGGGAAAGGTGTTGGGCAAAACCGGGAATGTTGAAGCGGCTGAGCATGATTATTGGAATGCCATACGGTAAGCGTCGTTGGCTGATTTTAACCGATATCAAATATAGTGGTTTTAGCTTGAATCCAGAATACGAACACGCTCTGAATAACCTTGCGAATATTCTGGAATCCAAAGGAAGAAACGTAGACGCAGAGCACCTACTGAGGCAAGCTCTTCGCAAAAGACCAACGTTAGTAGCTTGGATGAATCTTGGCATAACCCTGATGAACCAGGGGAAGTAGGTATAGGTACCAGGTGAATATAAGTATCTCTTTTGTCCAGCGCGTGAGTTCGACTTTACAGGAATCGCTAGAAGCATACCGGAAATCTCTGCAACTTCGGCCAGATAACGTTGATTGCATATTCAATCTGGGAAACTTGTATCAACGAATAGGCCAACCACTGAGTGCATTAGAAGCATGGAGAAACGCAACGAGGTAAAAAGGAGGTGAATTTGACCTGAGAAATTTTTGGCATGAGATCTCCCGATTCATGGAACGGAAAATTAAGAAGTACGTCTATCATTCATCCAAATTCAGGCTTGATAGCAGCCACGTGCAAGCAGTGACCAATCTATTGGTGCTACTGGATGAGCTTGGCCGGTACGGTGATGTGCTCGAAACTGCAAAGACTCTACCAGAAGCCACCTTAGGAGACGTGGCCACAATAGCATTTCAAGTGGGCACTTGCTTTGGGAAAAATGGTAGCTTTTTGGAAGCAGAATGGCATCTCAGAGCTCTACAACTTAGCCCTTTGAATGCTATGTACCATGCTAATTTGGGTAGGTTACACCATCAAAACTGCAGGTTTCTTGATAAATCACTTTCAAGGAGTGTTGTACCAGCGCTGGGGTCGATACGAGCTGGCAGAATACTACTACCGCGAATCATTGTTACTCGAAAGAAGCGAGTTAGTGAAGATCAATTTGAAGGCGGTGCTGCAAAAGCTGAACAGGACCACCAACAAAGTCGAACGAAAGGATTTTGTTAGACAACTTGGCTGCCTGGCATTACCTTGA